TCCTAGGTGGCGGGAGGGTTTCTCGGCTGTCAGGAGTTCTTCCAAACACAAAGCGCCTCACGTGCTTAAAACAATAAATGAGTTTCTTGTGGCGCAGGGGCACTCGAAACATGCCGTGATGAGGGTCGTGGCTCGAGTTTCACCGTGGAGCAGCGTGGGGAGGCACGCGGGGAGAGCGCGCCGAGGCGAGCACGGCAGGTGCAGCGGCCCTGCGAGCTGGGCAGGCCACTGTGCTGCGTGCACGGCGTAGCTGGTGGGACCCTCCCCAAAAGGGTCCCCTTCCCCGTGGAACTTGTTCATGTGTGGTGATTACTTTACCTTGTTTTTTTAAAGTAATTCTGGTGTTATGTTGTCATGTTTCAAGCCGCGGTGTCTGTTTTCTTTGGGACAAGAGCTTGGTTGCAGTTCTCCTTTTGTATTGGTAGTCCGATAGGATAGGAAGGTTCTGGTCTGTTTTTCTTCTTTTAAAGTTTCAGTGAGAACTTGGCTGTGTATCATGAGCTACATGAGTGCTGAAACTTTATGATGGTGGTTTATTGGGTGGTGGTTATAAATTCTGTTGTTACAACTTGAGCAGTAACTCGGTGTGAACCTGAGAGTGGCAGTAGTGAGCACACTGCAAATTATGTTGCTTATTTCAGGCTTTAAAAAAATAATTCAAATGAACTTTTCCCCTTCTTTCTCTGTAGTCATTTGCATTTTCTGAGATATACACTGTATTACCAACAGAACTATTACATACTCAGCATTTTTGCTTTCTTCTTTCCTCAGACTTTTTGATTTTTGTATCTCCTAATGCAGAATAATTTTGAAATGTCTTATTGGACTTCTTTGGCTTGTCTTGTTCAGGTGGCCCAGACACACAATCTCCTCCACGGGGCTGTGCCGGTTTGGAAGTAGAATCGACTGCTGCTGGGGCTGGGCCCGCTTATTGTCGGGGCAATGCCAACGTGAGTATTTCATTGCTGCTGGAGCTTCTAGTCCCTTGGAAAAGGCTTGCACACACCTAGCTAAATCTTTCACGTAGTCACACACATTCTTACAGGGCTTAGGCTTTTGCACGTGTGAGTCTGACTTGTTAAAAGGATGTCGTCAGATTACAATTCTGTCTTTTATTAACAGTATCCTAAATGATAGTAACTGAATAAGGTAAGATTTGGTTAAGACAAGGATAATTTGTTAATTTGTTTTGTTTCTGTGTTGTTTCATGGTCTGGTGTAACAGCCTGACAAAATACTGCAGAGTGTAATATTACAGGCACTGCAGGACAAAATATTTATGTCTGAGAAGGAAACCCAAATTGTTGACATTTCACTTAAAAAGTCAGTGGAAATATTTCAGTTGTTACTAAGATTAAACATTCTTTCAGTAATCCAAATATAAGGGTATAAATGACACATCATCCTTTTATTAAGTTACTCATCAAGAGAAACTTCTGAGATTCTTACATCTTTTTAGGGTCTTTGATACAATTGTGGAGTAATCATAATTAGCTTCATTCTCTGCTGGCAGCCAGGACTGTAGAAGTTAGAGTAGTTAGGAGAGTCGTATCTCAGCATCTTAATTATACACTTAGTTTCTGGAAACTATTGCTTGTGTGCTTAACAGTACATACATGAGTGATTTCCTGTAAGTTTTTTTTGGAAACAAACCTCTAATTACTCAATCTCAGCATTTTGTTTTAGATGCGAGTGTCTACAAACTAGATAATTTTTTGCTAAGCTGTTTTTAAAGCAAAGCAGGTATTGAATGCTGTTACTTGCTTAGTCTGGAAAGCAGGAGAGAGAGAGAGAGAGAAAAAGTGAGTATTGCAGGTGTGACTGTAGACTCTAAGCAAAGGTTTTGTTCAAATCTGTAAACAGCAGAACTGTCTCCTCCTTCCCAAGATTGTTAATGGCACACTGTGTTCAATAAGTATATAAAATAACTGGTGCATGTACATGGTAAGCGATTTGTAGTACTTGCAGGATGTATCTTGGCTACTCTTTCTAGATTAACAGTTCTCAGGTTGGTATCTCTTAGCCCGTACCATGGATCAGGTTGATATTATGGCTTTTGTACATTACAGAAGCAGTCGTTTCCCAGAGATGCATGTTTTTAAAGAAGGAAGATGTGGAGTAGGTTGATTTGAGGCCAGTCCAGGGGCGATAGAATCCATGTCTGTCTTTCATAACACAGTTTTGCCTGAAAATATTTTGAGCATTCAAATGTTTAAGGCTACAGAGGCTTTAACGGACAAACATCACTAATTTTTATTGTGAAAAATGTTTTTTATCCCTTTTCTTAGCAAAGTTGTCTCCTATGTTGTGCTTGTAAGTTTCAGCTCATGAACAGTGTTTAGACTGAAGTCAATTGCAGTCAAAGGACAGTCTATCTGTCCTTTGATTTCCCTCTACTACCAATTTTGATTTGGGTGTGCTATTTGACAGGTTTATAGTCTGAGGAGAAGATAATAGCATAAAGTGAAATCAGCAAAAAATGATAACTAAAAATAGAAATCAAGCGAAAACAATCAAAAAGTAAATTTTTTTTTCTAGTCTTTTAATTTTGTGAGTGAGGCCATTTGGAATGGTGTAGACATTTCGTTCACATACCATTAGCATTCTTTTTCTTTTTTTAAGACAAAAGCTAGGTAAAATCTCATCTCTTTCCATTTCTTTTAAGTCTGTTTCTCATAGTTTGTTTTACATTCACATTCTAGTGCGGAGGTGGATTTTTTGAGATCATTTCTAGTATTAGGCATCTATGCAGTTTGCACTGCATTCACTGTACACTTTTTCCAATTTTCCAATTAGGTGTTCAGAATTTCTGAACATCTGGTTTAGAAGACTGTTGTTTGAATGAAGACTTTTTTTAGCTTAGCAGGTAGTTCTATTTTTGAGACTGTAGCCAAAGTATTTTTAGAAAAATTAAACAAGAAAATCTGCCACTGCTGTGCATGGTGAAAATTCCAGTCATGTCATATATAGTGGGAGATTACACTTAATGAGAGTGAATTTTTCTTGTCTTGTCAGCCAAACAGCAAATCTGTAGTCAGCTTGGCACCTTGGGAATATGGCCTTCAGTATGAAGAATAACCTGGCATAGAAGGCAGCATTCCTGGCCTCAGAGGAGGCCTTGAGTATTTTACTATACAAAGGGATATCACTGAAAAATCTCTGAAAATACAAGTGCACAATTGTTTTTCCTGCTCTCTGTGTCAAAAGACAAACTTCATCTTTTCCCTGCAATGAATGACACATACGGAGGCCAGGCTTTCTTTTCTAAATGTGTGTTTTCTTTGCCATTTCTAGCATCTTATATTTATCTAGTCAAAGCGAGTTTAGATTATTGTGCATTATATATTATGCAGAAAATTAGTATAGAGTCAAAATTAGTAGTGAGGACCTAGCTTAGAAATGAGTTTGAAAAGTAGCTCTAAAATATTCAAGCAATAAGACTGTGAGCTCTGTATTAGCAGACTCGAACTGCTATACTCAAATGAAGTAGTTTAAGCCATCCTTGCTATGTATGTGAGAGCTCCAGCACTTTTGGGCTCTCCTATTTAGCTGTGTGTAATTTACTGAGTGTTCTGATCACCTCTGAATTTAGCTTACTGAGGACAAGCATGAGGTGGTGTGGGCCAGCTAGGAGTGAAGATGTAAGCTCTGCTACATGGCAGAGTTGCCCCAGTTTACAGAATTACTGCCTGTCTTCTGAGCTGTGATGAGCCACAGACAAGTGGCTGCAAATGCACTTGGGCATGTTTCCTGCTGTCTAGCTATCTGTGCTATCTGCTCCCCATATGCGTGGGGATGTGCCTCCTGCCGCTGCTACTGAGAAGGAAATGTGTTACCTTTAACTGTATGGCTTAAGGTAAAGGTTTAACTCTGAAGGGGAGCAAAGTGAGTACTTGCCAGCTCTAACAGGGTAGGAATGTCACTCATGACATGTGGTAACTCATTAAGATGTGGTAACTCCATTCTCATGGTCCATAATCTGTTGCAAATGAAAGCCGGACTGGGTTAGCTAAACTTTCTTTTGCGAAGTGCAGAGGAATTAATTTTGTCACCTTGAGTAACATAGCATATCTGCAGCATAACTGCTTGCTGCTGCTTAGTAACATAAATCAGCATAGCTCAGCTGTCTTTTCCACTGGTTAAATATGTAGGAAGAAGCTAAAATTGGGCCGCCTCTTTAACTTACACTCTTCCTTTGAAACATAATATGCCTCCTTTTGTTAAATTACAGTAATGGTAGACTGATTTTTGAAGCCTTCAGTATGAGGCTTTAACATTTCATCTGACAGAAGTATGCCCTCTGCCTAAAATTGTCTCCTGACTGCTCTTCACAGTTCCAGAAAATGCACTGAGAACGCGTCCTTTCCTCTGCAGGAATCCCAACAATTTTGAAGCAGGTTGGATTCTTTTGAAGTTCTTAATGGGCTATGGATGCCAAAGTGAGCTCTAAGGTTGGGCAGCTAAATCCATTTTGAGAATAATATAAAAATAGCTATATTTTCAAAGGATTCGAACAAATATAACTGCAAATAAATGCACTGGCATTTCTAAGTTATTGTAAACTGAAAATCCAGCTATTTCGCTTAGTGACTTACTCTTACTTATAAAGGGTGGGTAGAGTCTACCACTAGTATGATCAAGTAGCCTTTCTCAGATTTGCATCTGGTGTATGTAAACTAGTTTTATTGGTGTGTAAAAAGCCTAATTTGGAAGCAACAGAGACTTTTGTAGTTCACATGAACTAAGACCTACTGCTCAAACATAATCATCAATACAGCTGATTTGTCATGCTGGTGAACTCATAGGTTAGGGCTGTAAAGCTAGATGTTGCTAAATTTCCCAATGGAGATTAGGCTGAAAATCCCAAATTGTTGCCGCCTTTGTGTTTTTTATTGTATTTTATATCACAATTTATTTATGTTTTAATAACAGTTAGTAGGAGGAATTGCCCCAAAGCCTACTTCTATGGAAAAAAAAACTAATAAAAGTGCCTGATGAGGGATTAAAAAAACAGAGGGAGGGGAAGAGGGCATTTTTTAATGCATTACTGCTGTGCATACAGCAAAATTATAGAGCAAATATGCACACTATACTTTTAATTCATAAGCTTCTGCATTGTGAGGCACTGCAGCTGAGGTACTGGCAGTGTTTTCCTGGCCCGGAACCCATTTTGTGCATTTTAAAGTACACAAATCCATCTGGCAAAACTGAGTTGGGCATGCATAATTTCCTGTATCTCACAGGTGCACTTTTTCAGGCACTAGTAAAGAAATTTTGCCTTGGAAAGTTAATTCAAGTTTTTTTAAAATTATTTTTAAGTGTTGTATTTATCAATATTTGTGGGAATAGAATTCAAAGCAGAGGTAGGGCTGGAGTGCAGTTCTCTGTGAACTAAATAATAAATGACAATTCCAGGATATAAAACATTCATGTCCATTCCTGTACTGTAGCTTCAGTCTAGGCTATCAAATGAGATGGACTTATCTTCCAGCTGTAGGCCACGTCATCCCCTTAAAGAAATGTCTGTGAGAATAGTCTATGAGGATGACTCTCTCCCTAAGATTTCCTTAAGGTAAGGATACCCCAGGCCTTGTCCAAGTGTGTGTGTCAGGCCAGAGGTAGATCAAACCATGTGCAAGCCTACTGAGCTATTGCTGACTGACACCGGCTGACAAACTAGAGTACAGAAATCAGATGTGACGAATACTTGCACAGCAAGGTCTGCAAGCTGGCTTTGCTCAGCTGAGCAAGCTTAGCTCAGGGAGCTAAACTGCAGGATAAGAGATTAATTTCATGCAGAGACTTACATGTTCTGTGATGTACTTTAACCTTCTGTATGAAAGTGCCAATTTCCTTTTTCCTTCTAGCGAGTTATGTTAGGGGTTATTTGAAAAATACTCTTTTCTTGTTTTGTAGTAGTATTTGCCCGTATTCCATCTGGCACTTTTTTAAGAAGAGTGATAAAAGCCGCCTGAATTTTCCTTCTGGGTTACAGTTTGGACAACTCCTTTGCTAGAGGCTTTGGCAGCAGTAGTTTGTTTTGCTGCATTCATATGTGCAAAATGGAAGGTTGGATCTGCCTCACCTGTAAATTGATGCTGATCTGCTGTTGGATCCGCTGTTGGGATGGGTCTGCATGACTGTCAAAGTTGGCAGAGCCTGTTTAAGCACTCAGAGTTTGTCCAGTGGGCAGAAAGTTAGATCAGTAAGATAGGAATAAAATCCCACTGGATTTTATAAGTAGTTATGTTACTTGAATACTTGTCTAAATGTTTAATTCTCTTTAAGTTATAACAAAATCTGTAAGGTATATCTTGAGGAGGGATAAAGAAAAGTGTGCACTCTAAGGGTGTCTGTAGGGTAACTTGCTCTTGTAATTTCCACATGCTGAGATGTCTGAGCGCTCTACCTAAGAAACAAAACCGGAGTAGGTCAACAAAGTAGTTTCCCACCATCACACTAAAATCATGATGAATTAGTTTTTAAAGCATAGGGATAGAGCAATCAAGAAATTATGCAGTATGAGAGCACAGTAGTAAAAGCATAACTAAAGTGATCACTTCACACCTTGTCTTTGTTTTGAATCAGTTAAAAAAAAAAAATGTTAAGGCTGCCTGGTTAGGATTTAGACTTAGCTAAGCCTAGTAAAATGCATACTATTTTGGGAGGCTGTTAGACGATGTACCTGACATAGCAGGTGCAGGCATAACCAAATGCTTTGCTGGAAACACTGCATGCTGCTGCCTTCTTGCAAGAGCTATGAGGAGTCTCGTGCAGTCTGTGCTGCTCCTTCTGTGCTTGTGAGCTTAAAGGCTGTGCATCCCTGCTGTGTGATCCCTTTACAGATATGCACGGTGGTGGGAGCGGGGAGGGATGGTTGTGCTCTTGTTGATGCCTGGAAGGGTTTTTTTTTTTTTTTTTTTATCCAACTCCCAATGCTTGGTGGGAGTTTACCCAGATAGTTAATGTCCCACACATCAATGGGAAAAGAGGCTGTGTATAGCTTAAGATGCCTGTTCCTTGTGTATAATGATGCTTTAAATGGAAATGGCAATTCTGTATAGTCTAAGACACACAAATCTTTAGCAAATTAAAAACATGATTTTCTCAATGAGCCATGAAAATACTGGCTTCTGGGAGTTTGGCCCACTGTCAGAAACCTCTTTAAAGTCAGTAATAATTTTGCTAGTAAATTTGTCCTTGCAAGAATAGAACCTAGCATGAATGCCTTGTATTGACAATGATAATGAATATTGATATGCAATGTATCTGGCTGTTTAAAAATGACAAATATCTTTGTGCATTTTCATGTGTTCTTCTAAGAAAAGACACTTTATACAGAATTGCAATACCGCTTTAATATTGCTATGCAAGAAAGACAATGAGGTTTTGCTATTTTTATTCAGTTACTGTTGTTTTATTCTGAACCCTTACCTTTCTAAAGTAGATATGGAAATATGACTTCATTGTATTAAAGACACAATATCCTTCCTACTCCCCCATTGTACTCCTGCACCTCATACGTAGTTTTGCGGTCCAGTTTTTCCGTTGCAGATCTTGCATCTAACATAAAAATCTAACATGATTTGACTGTTTACAACTGTAGTATTTGCTCAAAGCCCAGCAAGAACACGGGGAGAGTCCCTGTAGTGAGCTTTTGGAACAGCCCCTAAGGGCCTTACCAGTTTAAATCAGTTTTAACTAGAGTAAGTTGCAATCAAAACAGATCCTTAAATGTTGGTCATTTGATGCCTGAAATATGAAGAACTGTTTTAGCCAAAGTTCCAGTCTTTTACAATAAGTTATGTAGCTAAACAGCCTATGCTGCTAACATCCATTTTATTGGCAAATAAATTGATTTAATATGAGCCCAAAACATAGATCTGTGTTTGCATCTTGTTTTATTTTCTTAGTGTTTTTAGTTTCATGTGTTAGTAAGAGCTTAAAAGGTCTCTAAGTATTAGTCTTAGTTTAGATGACATTGAAAATTTAAACATTATAAAAATGACCATTAAATTTATATGCCAACATCTTTATTGATTGCAGATGTTCAGATACTTAACAATGCATATTATTTTAGTTACTCTTAAATTAGCATCAAGATGCTAATCATTTAGGTTTGTTTTATAGAGATGCAGCATTAAAAATATGTACACTTATTTAAATGTGTATACTTATTTAAATGAAAAGATACTGTGTCTTTAAGAAAAACCTCTTTTTTTCTATTGGAAACATTGAACCTAAGCCATGAAACATGAGAATTTTTGCAACTATGTACCCATGTGAAACATGACCAAGTAGCTCCTTAGTTGATTGAATAAGAATAGCATTGCATCATTATATTTAATTACTCTTATATATCAGAATGTTTATTAAAGCTCATAAAGAAATACTATTGTAAGGTGTCGTGAATGTGCATCAGAATTTTTTTTATTTCAGAAAAGCTCTTGAATGTTGAATATGTGTAAGTCTCCAGGAATGTAACAAGTTGATAAAAACTCCAGCCAAGTCCGTCCTCTTTACAGGAGAAAGAAAGACAGGAGGAAAAAAAAAAGTTGGAATTTCTTTTTTTGGATATTTGTTTTGCAGCTTTCTACGTCTTAAGGCAGAGAATAGCCAGCCTAAGGTGCCAGCCCAAAGGTTAGCTGAACATATTTCTTGAAATAATTTTGGCAAGATTATGGTTTGGAGCTATGACCTTTAAGTCACAAGTTTACTTGAAAACTATAATACATGGCAAGATGATGTTCTCTCTTTTTTCTTAATTATCTGGTTTGGGGATGATAAGATGGGAAGAAATTTACTGCACTGTTGTATTCCATTCACCTATCTGTTATCCCCTTATCTTTTTTCCCTCTCCCTCAAGCCCTAGGGAGTATTTTTCCTTCCTGCAAATTGTTTATGCTGCCAGCATCACATTTACAATCTGACTTAAGAGGCCTGATTTAGTTTTTGGGGTATCGAATTGTGTGTGGTGAGGAAGAAAGGGGAGAAATGCGGTCAGTTATTCAGAAGGGGTGAAAAGTGATCAGTTATTCAGCTATACTTTAAAGTCAACTTTATGACTGTGATGCAGAATTTTATTTCACTGAAGTCAGTGGGTATTACATGCTACAGAGAAGCTAATAATAGGGCCCTATTTCTGTTCTGTCATCGCACCTAGTGACACTCATGTTAGCCTGCTTTTACCAGCTGCTATTCAGTAGACACAGAGATGCAGATAGCAAGCATGTACTTGAGCTGATAAAGATCCCGTCTTTAAGCGATTATCATGAATCGCTCAAACTGCAAATATGAAAAGCTTGACAGAATATGAAATTGTTCTTGCTTTTCCAGAGAATAATTCTAACTTGGCGTATGTGTTGGATGCTTTGGTCAGTGATTCTTAAAAAGAGTGTTTAAGTGCATAAGTATCTGATTACCTTTCACTGACTTCATTAAATCCTATTGATTTGTGTGGAGGGGTTCTGTCTGAATAGCAGGACATTCTTGAACCAGTATTTGGATTTGTATATGCAGTTTAGGAACACATTTGACAGCAGTTATAGGCAAGCAAAGAATTTACTGCAAAGAATAGCCCCCCAGTTGCTATTTATCATGTTAATGTCCTATTACCACATTCATATGTGCAAATTTAGTAACTGATTTACCCAGGCAAATGTGTTACTTGTGCATGTGAAATTGGGAGCTGCTTGCTTGGTGGTTCTGTAGATTTAAGGAAGAAGCTTGTACATGCACTTTGGCATCATTTGTTATCATGAATATTACATGTAAGTGCAAATCATTTCTGAGAAAAGACTCAGTTGCTAGATACTACCATTTTATCTGAGAATATTATTGGCCTTTAGCAATAGAAGTTGATGAAGAACATTTGTCTTTCAAAAATAAAGGAGTTTTGCATAGCAAATTATTTCAAAATAAATACTCAGTTTCCTTAACCAGGTTGACTGAAGTTTACAGTGTCTTCTGATACTTATTTGGGAAGCAAAGGTGTTTTTTCACAAGTAATTCTGTAATGTGAATGAACTATGGCATGCATTTACCACCTATTGATCACTATGTGGTAGGTTCAACTCCATGCATGATATTGCATTTGTATGCGGCTGAGGAAAAAGAAATTTATCTTTGAAAGACATGCAGCAATGTATTTTGTTAGTTAGTTCCTGGGAAAATCTCTAGATAAAAGTAGTTCTAAATAAGGTAGATTTTTTTTTGTTATTTTACTAAGTGTGTTGTTATGGCATCTGGTTACTTCTGTAGAATTGCCAAATATATAGAGAAATAGGCAGGTATTTCAAAGCCAACTTGTCTTTGCAGATAAAAGGTCATGGTCTGTTTGGTTGCAGGAAAAAGACTGAGGTGAAGGAGGCAGAATAAGAGATCTTGCTTCACCAACGAGCGAGTCTATCTAGTAAATTTGGCACTGCAGTATAAAGGATCCAATAAAGGTTTGTGAAGCTGAATAATATGTAACAGTCTCTGTGCTGATGCACGAATTTCTGCATATGAGCAAACTGAGTTTGAGCCATGACTTAGAGACAGGATAAATGAGTGGCTATACATTTCTTAAGAAGAAAAGATGGAAGCAAAGTGGTTTTGGTGGGCAGTCAGCAGTTTTTCAGATGCAGGTGTTCTTTGGATATTTTCAGATTTCAGAGAGGTGAAAATAGAGTCCAAGGGCAGATTGAACATCTGCAGTCTGTCAGTTGATGTGGATTTGAGTAGGGGTTGCAGAAGGAGCAACTAAATACTTCAAAGGCAGTTTTTTTTTTTCAGTGAAACCCTTTGTGGACATCATGTAAGGAAAGGAGGAAAATGGAATAAGAAACAACTTCATTAAAAAGTAGAAACTGAGAGAAGAGACCAAACAGAGTAAAAGATTCAAGATGTGGGTATGTTCTCAAAGAATTATCCTCAAGGCTGAGTTGATTGAAGGAGTAGCTAGAAATATTGGAGAACCAAGTAAGAATTGTGTCAATAGAAATACTACACTAGCCAATTGAGGAATTTTGGTCATTGGCCCGAAATAAAAAGAGCAGTTAGGTGCACAGGCAGTGTGGCCAGCTACCTGGGACTCTACTAACCAGTGCCTGGTAAGCAAGCAATAAATGGTTACGGTTAAGATTTTTCATTTCTTGAACTTATGCAGTGACTAAACAACAATAACGTAGGACAATTTAGTCATGCTTAGGCAGCATCATCTGTCAGTATTTATGGGATAGGTGGCCTTTAGCTTTCACCCAAGGTTAAGATAGGCTGGCAGTATGTGTATGTTACTACAACTTCTCTTCTTCCACATTAAAATAATCTGGACCCAAATCACACTTTCTCATGTTTAAATTCCCTGTATTATTTTTACAGGAAACTTAAACTTCAGTTAAATTTCAGGGCAAATTAAGGTGATAAATACCACCTTTTATTTGGGGAGAAAAGTGAGTTCTTGACAATCTTTTAAAAGAAGTGCTCTATTGTATTTGTGGCTAAATAAAAGGCTGTAGAATGCCTCCTAAAGTCTCACTGAAGGCAATGGGAAATTTAAGAGAGGGAGCAACTCTTTGCATCAGTCCCCAAACAATTTAAAATAAGCAGACAGGAGGTCAGTGTTTATTTTCTAACAACTCAAGAATGAACTGGGCATCCTGTGAAATGGAAAGCTTAGTTGTAATTTATTTAATGGCTTAAATAGGCAGCAGTTGACTAATTAGCAGGATAGACAGACAGAAGGAAATTTTAAGTACAGCTAAATCCACTTCAGTTTCAGTGCTTTCAGAAAGGATTCCTGGGGGAAATTATGGCTTTTTTTCATGTTAATACAACAGTAAATCAGTATTCTTCTGTTTAGTGGCCAGCTAGTCTATAGAAAAGGTGTACTTAGGTGCTCTTTTGTCGGGGGGGAGGAAAAAAAAAAAACTCTCATAAAGAGCAGAAAGTTTGTTTGTTTTTGTTTCTTTCCCAGACTTTTGGGTTTTTAGCTTCATTGTCTTATGATGTTGTAAGTTTGTAAGAGGGTAGCTTTGTCAGTCTGGTGTGATTCTCGACACCTGCATTTTTACCTTGCCTAGTAGGGAGATGAATAGTACGTAGTAGTTCCAAGACCATACACAAATGAGATTTATTTTGGTCATTTTTAAGCAGTCATTGTGAATTTGAGTTGATCTGAGGGAATTGTTAATTCATTTGTTTTACTGCAGTTGGTTGGGGATAATATTGTGTTGTCAGGTTACAGAGAATAGTAGTTGGGAGATTTTCTTTCACTACTTATGAGTCTATTTGTATTAAGAAGCGAATATGCTTAGTGTGTTCCTGCGTAAGCAGGAGAGTCTGGAGTTTTGTATTAAGAAAACAAACTGAGTGGTAAGGAGGCAGCTGAGGCATGCCCAGCAAGTAAAATAACTGCCTACTATTAAAAGAAAGACTGAAAGTCAGTCTAAAGTTTATTTTTATACCCAGATGTCTTTGGTGACCTTACTCACACGGAACTCTTTAGAAGTCAGGAATGTATCTCTAGTGCAGCTTGGGTTCTGCACCCCTTTTGTCTCTTGATTATCCACACCATGTGTGTTAGGTCACTCCTGGAGCTCCAGCATGCAGGGAATCTACTAGTGCCTTCAGCAAGGACAGCCATGTGACCAAAAGGGTTATTTGCATCCTAGGGATGGCAGTGTGATCTAGGCTCTTTCTAGGCCTGGTGGAGTTGCTATGGAAAAGGAGATATAAAAGTAGCCGGTGGAGCCCAGGCCATGTGCACAGACCTGGGCAAGTGTGGCTTATTTCTTAAAAATCCCCAGCACCATACAAAAATTCATCAAAATTAATGGGAGGTTATACTTGCTGCTTGTTGAGTGGCTTGGCTCCTGATAGGAATTGATATGAAATGTGTTGGTAGTGTTGGCAGAATTATAGCTGTTGTGAAGCTTACCACAAAATGCTTCTCCTTTTATATATTAATTTGCAGTCATAATACTGTATTGAATTTCAGCTGTTCAAAATAAAATAGAGAATGTTTAAGTAGCTGAGATACACAAGCTATATATAAATACTTTTTTCCAAGGACAGTGTTTGGCAGCAAACATGGATTTCCAAAAAAAAAAAAAAAAAAAAAAAAGCAACTTGCAGAATGGCATTTTATATTGACTTTGACTTAATGGGTGGTGGTTTGTTAGAACTTTAACAGAAATTTTATAAATCATAATAACAGGGATTCCTAACTAGTAGACTCTAAAATTCTGAAGTTTCCCTCACTTAGGTCTTTTGTCTGTTTTCAAAGTCTCATCTGTCATGCCATTTAAGCACACTTAATTATTTCTTGATACTTGACAGACTTTTAAAATGACTTTCTCCAGTCCAAAAGCCTTTCTGCTAACCATTACCTGTATGCCATACAAGACAAGAAATGATGGTGCGGGTAGTATGGGGCTGAGGTGATGGAGATGGACTAGATCGTTGCTTGAGCATCCCTGAGTTCCTATTGTTGTCCTACAACCTGCATTCCCTGATTTTTCTCTGTAGCCTGTTGTATATCACTTGTTTTAAGCTGTTTATTTCCTAATGCTAGTGCATAATTTTTATTATAGTGTGGTATCTGACCTACTTGGTTGACTGACAGAATTAAAGCAAGCTTGCAGATAAACAAATCTCATTCCTAATGGCAAAATAATTGCAATTTCTTATTTAAATATAAAATTTCCATTGCTATAAGCCTTGTCATCTTCAAGTGTTAGATCTGTTTTCTTCATCTGAGCTGCTCCTATTCTTCATCTGAGCTGCTTTTCATTCAACATAAGTAAGAGGGAGATGTGGGAAGAAGGATTTTTTTTTCTGCCAATTAACCCATGGTGTTTTTTAAAGATATGTTGTTATTGTCTAACTTTATCCTGCTTCTCAATGCAGATCTTTGAAAGACAGCTGAAATTTCATGGAAACTTTCACAAACTTGTTAGTAGCTGCTTTTGTTCTACTGTGGTTTAGATGACATCTTTTTCTTTCTCTCCAATTCAACATCATTATGTTGGTTCAATCATTTTTATTTTGCCACCAGCAACCCTAAGTTGGAGCTGGGCCTATAAAATTAAGAGTTACAGTGTGCAATAAGGTCCTATTTAACCAAGATATTTTTTTTCTGTTTGTGACCATAGTGATTAAAAAAGAGGCAATAAGCATTTCCAAGTAGAACACTCCAGAAGCTCTGCATGAGGCACTAGCTGCTTTGCAGTCAAATCTGCCCAAGCACTGCCCAAGGATGTACTTTGAAACATTCTTTTTAGTAGTCTGAGCAGCCCCTTCCCCGAACTATTTAAAGGAAAGATGTTTCTGTGATTCTGAATACTGTTCCTCTGTTTCTGGGCAATGTTTAAAGGGGGGGGGGGAAATTGCATTAACTTTAAAAGGCAATGGGCAGTATTTTAAGTACCCCTTAAGAAAGATTTAGGGAAGAGACAGCAGGAATTTGTTAGGAAAAGCTGTCAGCAGCAGTGCCATGCCTTCAAAAGAAGGTCTCATACTTTCAGGGAGTATCATAGGCTGCATGCATACAATGTACGCACATATACATACAGAAGGATGCCCTGGTAGTAGAGGGCAAAGCCGATCCTAGAACTTACGCGCAGTAGCCTCATTCTGTGCTGTAGATCCTTCTGTGGATGCGGTTGTGGGAATTGCTAATTCTAGGTTTTTTGGATCTTATGGAAAAGGTTTTTAAAACATCTGATAGCTGTTTGCATATTTTTTTTTACAAGCAAAATAAAAATGAATCTCTTGTTTGGATTTTAATTTTGTTTACTTCAGCCCTGTAGAACAGCTTGGGCTAGAGTACAGACTACGTCTGGTGTGCCTTCTGACAGATTTTGGTTAAATTAGATCCTTAATACATCCTATTTTATGATATCGACTGCTGTCAGATTAATTAAAATTATAGTTGGTTGTATTTAGTTACTTAAGTTCCAAATGATAACATTATTCTACAAAGTGAACTAAAAGCAAGGTTAAATAATACATCTTAACTGCAAGGCATTCTAATTCTGCAACTCTGGTTTCTCCCTAGTTTGTGTCTGTCTTGCCTAAATAGTATGCTTAGCAGCCTTTTACATCTGCTTTTGGGCATGTATCATGATAAATATCATTTTAGGGCAAAGTAAATATTTCAGTCTTTCAGTAGGCTGAAACAATATGTTTAATGATAGGAAGACACAATAAAAATACTTGGCAATGTCTGTGTAAATTTTTCTGCTGTGAAATATTTTCCAGAGTTCTGTAGGATTCTGAAAATATTCCCGTTAGGTAATCATAGGTTAGTAGGAATAAATTCTTGAACTTATATTGCTTCAAAAACAGTATTTTTTACTATTAAGCTTTTGGACTTGGATTTCTGTTTATTCAAAAGCATTGTTGTTAAAGTTTTATAAGCTTCTTTATGCATTTCATTTGTGCTTGACGAATATCACCAAAAATGGCTTAATGGCTATTATTTCTTGGAGGGCTATATTTTTACTCCAGTTGGGGAATTAGAAATTACTTGGCAAGTTTGATTCTGGAAGCAGAATAGAACATCCCATTCTTCAACTGTATTTGTACAGCAGTTTTGATGTGTGCTTGAAATGTTCTGAATAACAGTGACTCGGGTGTATGCAGTAGCATTTTGTCATACTGCTTTTGCTTTCTCACACTCCTTTCTTCCACCTAAAGAAAAATAACTGCTGTTCCTGGGACAGAATCCCAATAGCTGAAAGGGATAGATTCAGAGGATTAAAAAAACCAGTAATTATCCTAAGCAGTCATGGAGGAAATTGTAATGTACTTGCGATGCTGTTTATCAGTATTAGAAGCGTGGCTTTGCTCCTTTGTTAACAGTGACGCTGATGTAGGCATTGCCTATAGAGCTGGGCACCTTCCAGGTACACCGCTCCGAATGACGTGGATCATAGCGCATGCATAGCTAGGGTTAGGGAAGGCCTGCGGTCTGAGTGCTGCTCAGGTACTAAAAGCCTTTAATATCCCAGCGACAGCGCAGTGCACTGCTACACAAACAGGATATACTGACCGATGGCTCCTTTTTCCCATGCGTGTTGGGGCACTGGCTGTCTATGAGAGAGTACCTGTAGCTTGAACAGAGGCTTTGGAAGCAAGTAATGATGCCTAAGGGAGGAACATGAACAGTACTGTGTGTTAGGCTGTCACTTTTTAAAAGTAATGTGCCCTCAGCAATAATTTTTTTCCCTCTTTGCAGCTATATGCCAGCCAAGATGCAAACATGGGCAATGCATTGGACCAAACAAGTGCAAGTGCCACCCAGGATACACTGGAAAAACCTGCAACCAAGGTAAATTCAAAGAGAACTTCTTCATGAAATTGCAGAAGTACTTTGGAACTCAAAAAGAAGTGCTAATTGTCCTGCCTAGCAATGTTAATTTTCTTCCTACATTGCTAATTCTTCATGAGTGTGTAATATTCATTACAAGCCTATGTATGTTGCCTGCAATCTTAGGTAATGAGCTCCAATACCAGGTCTTTTCTTACTTCACCTATTCTGATCCTGAGACGTACATTTGCAGGGAGAATGACATCTCCAGGGGAAGGACGCAGGGAAAACATTTGCTTTCATTCAGTAGTCAGGGGGGTTAATGTGAAGTATGGATTTACATGCTTTCCTGAAACTGGATTAAATAATTTAGATCTTCTGGTTAGGACTACTATTTCTCAGCAAGGTAACAATTTGCAGGTCTGGATAGTGAGGTAGTATATTTTTTATTTAGAAATGATTTAATTCCTGCATTCTTCTTTCTGGGTTTCTAATGCTGAATGAGTTAGTAAAAACTTGGATTGTGTAATTAAAAGATGGAAAGATGAAGTGTTCTCTTAATTAGCACTTCTTCCCCCTGCCCCAAAGTTGATGTCCAAAATATGTAGTGGAAGGAATGGGATTATAATACAAAGCTTCATAGCTTTTGATGCATAAGACATGCTCACGTATAAAGTTGTTCCAGAATGTAAAAACTGTTTTTAAATGTTTTCTGAGAATGCTGAGGAAGTATGGTAGAAATATCTGCTAAAATTAGAGCTAAGATGCTGTCTTGAAATGTATTCTCTGATGTCTCCTAAACTTCTTTTGACACATTGTTTTTTGAAGTGAAATAATTTCTTTGAAAAAATATAAATATTTATTGAGGTTGACTAATCCATCCCAAATTAATGTGGAAAAAATGTTTTGTTTTTCAGATTAGTTTGTCTCACACTGTCATCTCTCACATTATCTTATCCTCCCTTTCCTCTGGGCTGACTTGGATAGGATATTATGAATTATTCTACACTTGTTTTGATCAGTCTGGAAATTTCTAGAAAATAGTACAGTGAACTCATGATATTACATATAAAACTTATATTTCTTATTATTTACTAAAATTTATATATGCTTTTCAAATTGCTGGAGATTGCGGTGTCTTGAAACTAAACAATTTGCTGTCCAAGAGGGACTAAAGAAGGAAAATGAACATGGTGGAAAATGACTAAAGGCAGCCTTGTAGGCAAATGTTCTTGCATGGGTAGTGTCAGTGACAGAATTGCCATGGCAGATGTGCATAAGAGACTTGCTGACTGCAGTGGCTATAAGGTATATCAGTTTAAGTGACTACAGCACAGCTATGCTACTTTCCATCCTGGGGCCCTTGAGCTGTTCCTGGGGTGAGGACAGGCACCCTTGCACATCCTAATGCCATGTGAAGATGAGCGCTGAGCCCTCACAGCTCATGCGGAGCCCTGCTTTTGATGGAGGGAAATTCCAATATATGTTTGGGAAGAGAACCCAGCACGGTCCAGCCATGGAGTTGGGGCGCGTTAGATCAGCGGGAGACCTGTGAAGCACACTTACTATATAGGATAAACACAGCCTATATTGTATCTTGATGTAGCAGCTGTCCTGTTCTGTACATGCTTGTTGACCTTTCTTGCTTTTGTTCTAAAATAATCATTAACAAAAAGTAATGGTGTTGCACAGATGAAGTGTTTCTGGGTTATGTGAATGGTCTTGGACTCTAAAAGATGCTCGGATGCCTGGTGAAAGGTGTTGTTTGAGTATGAGTTCTGGTTAATAGGCTCTGCATCTCACTGCTCATGGACAAACCCTGGTCTTTTCTACCTTTGTGGATCAAACCCTGTTCTGTGGATCAAGCCAAGGCAGCAATCCAGCCTCACAGCTGAACTGTCAAACTTGAACTGTGTGATGATGTCCAATTATTTCCAATCCTTTTCTAGGGGCACTGTAGTGGCAGTGACAATCTCGATCTTGCTGCGGGTTACGCTCAGTAAGCAGCATTAACTGACACTATCTTTCTTACTGTATTAGTAGCATCAACAACTAAATTGCAGTGGCTTTGCACAGGAGGTGACTGTGTGTTTTCCCAAATGCATTCAAATCTCACTAGTGATTTAGTGTTTCTTTTCTAGCTTTTTGAGCCCTAGTTTACAGCTGTAACTAGGATTTAAAAAAAGAAGTGCTGAGCATTCTGAAGTAAAAACTCTTTGCCAGCACTCTAATTTGTATTGCTTGTAATGGAACTTACATTGCTTGTAATGGAACTTTCAAAATATGTTTATCAGAAAATGAATACTTGCTCTTCAGTAAAACCTGTGTTTTTTAAATGTCTAAACTGTATCAGGTTGCTTTCTGTGACAGGGAAAGTTTGACTTTACCTAAAATAATACATAGCCTCTCTTCTGTAACTTGCTGTCTTGTTCCCTGCTTGCTGCAGGAGCATCTTGTGGAAGTTTGCCTTTGTTGTTTTGCAAAGCAGCCTTGTGAGCACCTGATTTTTTTTTCTCTCTCTCTCTCTCTTTTTTTTTTTTTTTTTTTTAAGATAAATCAATGTATATTAGAAAGATGTGGTCATTTTGTCTTTTTATGGTGCCTTTTTCCCGTCCTCTAAATCTGCTCGCTCGTATTCGAGTCAGCCTGGTCAGGAGGGTGAAGGGCTCTTCCCGCAGCCCCGCGTGGCCGCGCCGCGGGTGCCCCTGCACGGCGTGAGCTGCTCTGTCCTCCCGGGTGGCCGCACCGCTGCCTCGCGAGGGCTGGGACGCCAGCGCTGGGGGCCGCGCTGAGCCCGCGGGACCAGGGGCATTTCTAGGTTCCTTCCTAAACTGGGAGCAATAGGAATTGCTTAGCAGGGCAGATGAAGACAAAAGCAGAATTCACGCAAAGCTGAAAGCTGAGGAAAATGAGGATTGATAAATCAACAGCTGCCATATTCAAAAGTTATCAGACCTAAGTATTGTAAAGAAAATTCATAGTGTGATACAAATCTCCTCCATAAACAAGTTTGATGTGCTTATGTGATGATAGTTTCAGAGAATGAAAGCTGATCTACTTAGTACAGCATGAGTGGTAACGGTTTAATTTTTAACTTGATTTCTGGTTAGCGGCTTTCTGCTACCTCAGTCTGAGTCAATTTGGTATTGAATGTTTGACCTCTGTGTTGCTTCATCCAAATTAGTAGGCAGGAAAGTAGGCTGGAGTCTTGGTGGAAGTTGGTTAAAGAAAGCAGCAGGGTGCAGTGCACCAGCCCTGGAAGGGCTGTCCCCGGTCGGTGCCCACAGACATTGGGCCTTCCCCAGGATCCTGCGTAGTCCACGCAGGAGTCACGGAAGCCGCATCCAGGCTTGCCAGCCTAGTTCATGTTTTCATTGCTTTTCTTTTAAAATAAAGCACTTGTGCTCAGCAGCCTGAGCTTATGTTGCAGACCTGCTTTCCTTGGTGCCTAAAGCTTTCAGCCTGCTTTTACATACACTACTGACCTTCTTCTGAAGGCAAGAATGCTAATTTTGCATTGACTGTATAATTATGGGCAGCATTTGAGTTTAAGTGATTGAGCAGTGAAATTATCTGTTTCAGGATAGTGGATAGACATTTGTTGAATTCCTGACAGTGCTTTGCTTCATAGTTGTAGTTCCAATGTAAGCTGTTAAGTCAGTAGAAGGAGTGCTGATACTCTGTTACAAAGAAAAAGGGTGTAAAGTGTTGTTTTATAAATGCATGGGCATTTATACTGAGATCTCTCTATAGATATGGTTTGAAATGCACAACTGGTATCTTTGGGTAAGTATCCTGACCTTTTTTTAAACAAAAGTATGTTCAAGGCATGTGCTGCTGTAGCTGACTTGTAGCTGCTAACATTAGCTTGAAACTGTTCTTGGAAAACCAGATGTTACTTGAAGAACAAAACCCACACAACTGAAGCAAATCCTGAATATTTATAGCAAGACTGTTCCTGCGCTTCCTAGTCCATGTGCAGCACATGCGGACACTCCGGATGGTAGCGCACCATTACGCGTTACGGGAGCGTGGAGGTAGATAAGAGCTACCAGCCTTTTTGGAAGCTGGCTTTGCTGTTAAGCTGCCAGGGTTACTGCTGATCCTTGTTCTCTTCAACAGTAGCATTCGTTGTGACCCCGTGTGGTTAAGAACAGCTAATGTCAAAGGCAAAAGTGAAAGTGTGTGACATGAGCTAGATTTAAATGGAGCTGTGCTAATAGCCTGTTTCTGATGGCTCGTGACCTTAGCTTTCTGCTGTGGCAGCTCAGAGGAAAGAATGACTGTTGAAAGAAAAGGGCACTTCACTTGCAGTGTGTGGAGTGTTGTGTGTGGTGGTGGTGGTGGGTTTTTTTGTTTGTTTGTTTTTTTGCAATTTGATTCGGGGAAGTCAAAAACTGCTGTAGCAGTGTTTATTCACAGGCAGAAACAGAATAAAGTGAGTAAAACAGAAGCAGGTAAATGTAGTCACATTTCACCAGTGTGTGGTGTGACGCACTAAAGTTTCATTTCTGTACTAGAAGTATTTTGTACCAATTGGTGGCGTAGTATTCAGTTTTCTACAGAAGAAGCCAATTATTTAAGGGTCATAATGTAATCTATGCTTTATACAGGATGGGAAGTTTTAAACTGAGAACAGTCAGAAATCATTATGTTGTTCAACTTTGCATCTGTGGTGGCAGTTCCGGAAATGAGTTCTTAAGGGTCATGTTTTTAGGAGTATCTAAACATAAATAAATTAAAGCAGTGGAGGATCACACAGGCACTACTAACTGGGACAGGCTGCCCAGACAGGTTGTGGAGTCTCCTTCTCTGGAGATCTTCCAAGCCCGCTTGGACGCAGTCCTGTGCCACGTGCTCTAGGTGACCCTGTGTGTGCAGGGGGGTTGGACTAGATGACCTCTAGAGGTCCCTTCCAACCTTAAGCATTCTGTGATTCTATGAAAATCCTACTCTATCAGCTTAAATTCACTTTTATTGCACCTTATTCTGGCCCTGCTTCTAGTTAAATATTATATATGTAATTGTTTTGTGTTTATTTTGTGAAGTAATGGGTTTTGCGCGAAGCTGGAAATTATTTACATAGACTTAAACTAAGAAACTTTCTTTCTCTTTAAATTCAAAATTATTATTGCCTCTAAATCTGAAATTAGTCATTAGCTCAGGCTCAGTGAAGATACTTTCATGACTTGTAAGTAAAATTTAACAAAATTGTTGAATTTAACAATGACTTATTTAACAAAAACTTGAATGTCTTGTCACTAGTATTTTGGCAAAGATAGCACACAATTTATTTTGCTCCCAATTGCCCTACGTTGTGTCAGTCATAACGAAAGGGGAAATACTTGCAACTTCTAGAACAGCAGTTAAAAGCTTTGTCCTGAAAAAAAAGGAAGGATGAAGAATGTTGCTCTCTAACTGTTTCAAGATGCATTTAAATTTCAAATACTAGGAACGGGGAGTTACAGATATACTGCAGATACGGAGCAGGTGCTGTGTTTGTGTGCCTGCTAAATGCCTGGTGCCAAGGCTGACCTCACTGGGGTGTTGCTTAGGGAATGATGGTTCTTTGAAAAGTTCCTGGAAATAAGTCACTCTTTAACAAAACTCCACAGCGCATTGTGCAATATTAGAAGTAAGTGTTAGTAATTTACTTGTAAAACTACCTACTGACAGGATTTGTGAATAGATTTATTTATTTTTAACTTTATTATTGTCATCTTTGCTGCATAATGGCAGGAAATGACTGATTTTATCAGGATAAACCAGAATAATCTGTTACTGAACGTAATGTGCAGCAAAATCCATTGATAGCATTTGTAGCAATGTGAGCTTTCCATCTCCTCTCTACTGTTCAGGTTGATGCTGGTCACAGGGTGCTGTGACAGTGGCAAGAGGTGAGCAGTCTGATCTCCTGTAGTCCCTAACAAAACTTCTACCATTATGTGAGCTAATGCTAGTGGTGTTGTTTCTGAAAGGATGTCTGTGTAGAAGAAAATACTCAACTTGCAGGAGGACTTTATGCGGGATGTTCTGGACACTTGCTGATGAGCTGGACTGCATATAAAATCTGATTGCCAATTTTTCCTCCTTTCTTCAGGAACTCTAACTGCTAGCAATACTTTGTGTATTTTCTCCTCCCACCCCCTTTCTTTTCTATCTTTCTTTTCAGATCTAAATGAGTGTGGACTGAAGCCCCGGCCATGCAAACACCGATGCATGAATACCTACGGCAGCTACAAGTGCTTCTGCCTGAATGGCTACATGCCCATGCCAGACGGAACGTGCTCTAGTAGGGCAAGGATTCCATAATTCCATAATTCCATAGGAAGTTAAGGAAAAATTTCTTAACAGTGAGGGTGACAGAGCACTGGAACAGGCTGCCCAGAGAGGTTGTGGAGTCTCCTTCTCTGGAGATCTTCAAAACCCGCTTGGATGCAGTCCTGTGCCACGTGCTCTAGGTGACCCTGCGTATGCAGGGGGGTTGGACTAGATGATCTCTAGAGGTCCCTTCCAACCCTAAGCATTCTATAATTCTATGATTCTAAGGCTTGTTGCTTGCTTTTCTCAAACCTCCTCTTCAATATCCCTGTGACAGGGCTCTGGATTCACTGGGAAACTTGTCTGAAATTAAGATTAGTCCTAAAGGAAAAGTGAATCCCACTGGAAATCATGCAATTGCACAAAATGAGGTGCTTTGTTCTAATGAAATTAGGCTAAACACAATAAACAAATATTTTGATTTATTAGTTTCATTACTAGTCTCTTCAGACACATTCTCCAGTGCTGTAAATCACTGGTAATTTGCCTTCAGGGAGTGGGGCTTGCAGTTGCATTGCAGCAAGACACCTGCAGTTCTGCAGCAGTATGTCTGTGTAAATGTAAAGTCATTAAAGCTGCAGATGTTGGTTGCTTAACTGGTATAAAACTGTATTGTGATCTTTGTGGAGATCAGGTTCCTTCTCTCTTGTGTAAAAGCGGCTATTTTCAGTGTCTGGACAGAGGGGAGAGAAATGACCCTTATTAAAGGTGTTATTTTTAAAATGGCAGTACTGCCCTGGAGGACTTGTAGCACATACTGGGATTTATTTTCTCCAGGGGGATTGCATTTCATAACACAACTTGCTACAATTGATTTTTGTTTTTTTGTAGATGCCCAGACGTGTTCCATGGCCAACTGTCAGTATGGCTGTGATGTGGTGAAAGGGCAAGCGCGCTGCCGCTGTCCTTCTCCAGGCCTGCAGCTGGGGCCTGATGGGAGGACCTGCATAGGTATGTGATAAGATGCATGATCCCTTTCCCTGTTCCCTTTTCCCTAAAAAAACCCCACATTTTCATCCTTAAACCCTCTCAAGCTGTTAAGTGTATCAGCTGTATTTAGAATGCATCATACATGCAATGTGAAAGTGCTGCTGGAATGGTGTTCAAAGTGGCATATGTCAGAGATCCCTAATGTTTTCTTCCACTCCTGCAAGTTTTGTTGACTCTCTGCTTAAAGCCTGCAAGGGCTGCTTGGCCCAAAAGCTTTTGGTCCATATCAATCTCTCCTCTTACTGGCTAATTTTACATGCTGCTGGTAGGGACTCCCAAGTACTTGCCTATATCAGAAAGGCATGGGGAGGGCAGGTCTCTGTCATACACTTATAGAGTAAGGTGCTGCCTTGGTTCTGGGAATGCAGAGCTAATTTATACAAATTGCCAGATTTCTTTGGGGTAGGCTGAAGGTTTGTGCACAATTCCAATATTAAAGGGATTTAGGCTCCCATTATTCTTGGATAGCATTGAAAACCCCTAGTTAAAATAAACTCAGAAATTCAGGCAGCATAAAAGTAAAATGTTTTCTTCTCTCCTTCTTGATTGTGGTTAGGAGCTCCTGCTTAATCAGACTGTATCGTGCCACATACCTCAATGGTCTGAAGAACAGTGTGACATGTGATTTCATTAGTCATTAACTATACATTTATGATTGAGACCATATGCAGATCTGCAGTTTTACAACCTCTAAGAATTGTGCATACTTGCACTGAAAGATGTCAAGGTGATGTGGATGACCCTAATCATGCACACATGGGTATCACATCTGCGCAGTGGGGACAATGGCTTCTTGAAGTGACTTACCCATGCAGACCAGGAACTCTGTGGTGGAGCAAGGGGCAGAAACTAGCCCTGATATAAGGAGCAGGCCCTTGGTGGAGGCTTCTCCAGTGTGTCATCGGCACACGTGTGCACGCAGAGGAGTGGGTTCAACTGCGGCAAAAATGATGATTGTTGGAAGCTGAAGGGGTTGAATTATGATTAATTTAGCTGTAGACCTGACAGAGAGGTTTTTGGAGGAGATTAATGACATTGTGAGCCGAGTGAGTTTTGGTACAAATTCCAGGAAGTGGAATTTCTACTTCCTAAAGTAGAAAATTTCTAGAAAAATACAAGATCCTCCTACTGCACTTTTTTATAAAAAGTTCAAGCAAACTTCATATGTGTTTTGAAATAACTGAAGTGGACATTTGGTGGTGTTTTTAAATATTCAGAAGACTAGCACTTAGACCTGTTATATGAATCCTGTTCAATTTAGTAGATGATGGTGAGAAAATTGAAATGGGTGTTGCCTCTAGCTTGTGAAATGCTAGCTTGAGGAGGGTTCCAAAGACAGCTGGGAACGCAATGATTGTTTTTACCAGGTGGAAATTCCCTTAGAAATTACTCTATTTTTAGTTTGTTATTCTGTGTTGATCATTCTCTTTTTTAAAAATGCTTCATCCAATCAGCAAAGAACAACCAAATAATTCAGCTACAAAGGTAAATTGTATAAACTAAATAACAAGGAATTAAAACGGAATTCAGCAAAGTATTCAGTAAAGATCAGGATTATAAATGTCTCCAGAGACAAAAAATAACTGATGAAGCAGTGTTACCAGTTTTTGCAATTTTATTTGTCATTCCGTGAAATTGGTAATTTGCACATCTCTTCGGCTTTAAAAAGTCTGAAATTGGCACAGGCTCCTGGGCTTGAAAGAAGCCACTCTCACTATATGTCTGGCACCCTAGCAAGCTAAGCAGAAGCCCTTGCATGCCATGTCCTAGCCAATGATCAAAAAGCAGTTTTCCACTAGCAGGGAGCATCCACATGCCACGCTAAAGGTAGGCAATAGACTTTACATCATTTTTTGCTTAACTTTTATGTCAGTTTTAACAGGGGTGTCGATCATCCCTATATGTTTAGCATGTATAACTGCACAGATAGATAAATGATATCACTATAATCCTCTGGTTTCTGAGCTCCCCTCTTCCCCTAGGTGCGTGTGCAATAGCATGAGCGCAGCAGGAAAGACAGAGCAAGCTACTCTAGGTTTTAAAGAATGTATTTCATGCCATGATGAAAGACATTCTGTGGCTGATGTATTCTTGCTGAATTGCTTTTGAAGTTAAGATTAAAAACAAAAACAAAACCTCAGTGATCAACAGCCTGAAGTAGGCAGTGTCAAAATGCTATTTTAAGAAAAGGTAGAAAATTATGGCTTATAAATTGAATGATGTTACAGGCTATAGCAGCAGATTTTTTTTTTTTTTTTTAAAGGCACATATATTCAAAGCAAGAGGCTGATTTATAGGAAGAAGTGGGCGTGCAGAGCCATGGCCCCGTGCCCAGTTTGGGTCTCTTGTTTGTTCTGGTTGAGGTTGTTGTCGTTGACTCTCATTCTCGGGAGTGCTCCGGTGTCAGCGCGAGGGAGGCCGCTCGTGTCGGAGGAGCGTGACGGGCCGAGCGCGAGGGAGGCCGGGTTTGAGGTCGGCTGGTCGCACTCTGGGCCGGTGCCAGCAGGAGCTACTGGGAGAGCCCGGGCAGCCAGGAGCTCCTCATTCCAGGTTATTCCTTGTGGCTGTGGGAAACACAGCTGGGAGAGGTTAGAGCTACATCCCCCATCTTGGGGAGCTGCCTTAGTCAGCAGTTTTGTTTCCTTTAGTTCCCTATTTGGACTTTGTTCAGTGGTCAGGAATATTTGTGTCTGAGAGTGGCTGTGGTGGCCGGCAGTAGTGTTTCCTCCAAGCTTGCAAGACTCGGGCTCTGCTCTTCTCTGTGCTCTGTGGGACCTCTCCCAGGCAGCAGTCTGGGCTTTGCCCTCCTGCCACCTGCAGCTAAAGTGCTCCTTTTAGCTTGGAGAGCAAAATCTTGCTTTCCTGGAGGTCAAGAGCTTGCTAGAGGTGGAGAGGGAAGGCTTGAACCGTGCCCTGGAGATAAGCAGCACTTGTGAGAAGCACCGTGTCTCAGAGTGGCTGTGTGGCATGTCCCTGCCTCACCTCAGTGAGTTAGGGCTCGAGTGCTCAGCGGGCTTCAGCTCAGCCCCAAGGGCTGCAAAGCGAGTGCAAGTGGCTTTGCTGTATCTGCCTGCTCTCCTGCCAGGGCTTGTGCAGCAGCAGCTGCAGGAGAGGCGCCTGGTCTGCCCCAGCCCTGCCTGGCAAACAGGGCTGCAGGGTCCCGCTGTGAGCGCGCGGGAGCCACGTGCCTCCTAGGTCACGTAGGTACCAAGCCCTCTTGCAAGGGGGCAGCTGCAGCACACGCATACTGCAAGGAAGAGCTTGCAATGGGGCAGTTACCCCTCAAAAACCATTTGGCCTGTGGTAGCAAACAGTTAGGAGCCCTAGAAATAATGTCCCTGAAACCCCAGCTTTAGCCTGGTCTTTGCTCAGACATTTTTAGAGTATTTTAAAAGGGATTACTGGGGTATTTTTGGCAATTCCTTGGCTGTAAGTTGAGATGCTATCTTTGTAAGCTTGGGCTCAATAGTGGAAAAGGAAGTTATTCAAATGGTATGAAACAGCTTTTCTTCAGGCAAAAAGAAGCTAACATTTTAAGGATGAGTGCTTTGAGGAATACCCTTGAATCCAGGAGAAGGGTCCCAAGGCTGCAAGACTGTATGGCAAGCACTCAGAAGCCAGTAGTGATACATGTTATATCCATGCATCTCTTGTCGCTCAGGGTGTTTATTTTTGGCACAGGAGACAGACGTATGTGTATGTGATCAAGAGCTGAACTGAGGAGCCACAGCATGGGTGTTATTGCTGGCCAAGCAACTGGCACCAAAAAAAGCTTTTCCAAAATACTTTGGTCATTCTATAATCTTTTTCTTCTGTGAAACCCCTTTAAAACGGACAGCACTTTATCTGTTAGGAAGAATGATACTATTCCTTTCTTTTTGCAGATATCAATGAATGTGCTACTGGGAGAGCTATCTGCCCCCGCTTTGGGCACTGCAGCAATACTTTTGGAAGCTACATTTGCAGATGCCATAAAGGCTTTAATCTAATGTACATCGGAGGCAAACAGCAATGCCATGGTAAGGACAACGGCACGTTTCCCGTGCTTGTGGCATACAGCTGCATACTCTGAATGGGAATTAATGGTTTAAAGAATGTTCACTTACTACAGCTGGCACAGTCAAGCAGGTTGTTTTAGGTTGCTCTGCATCAATATTTTAGGAAGGGGCGGATGATAGAAATAACTGGAAGCATGGATTGGGCCCCTTTCTGGTAACTGGCTCCTCCTAGGAGCTGGTGACCTCAGGAAGTCCATTCCAAAGCCTTTGTCCCTGCAGATTTAACTTGGGATTAGTAGTTGCAGGCTTGGCACCGTGTACAAGTGTAGTTCTGTCTGCACTGTCACACAGGAGTGCTTCACAGCTTGTCCTGAGCTGATGAAGGGTGGCCCAAGCACATCCCAGCTCCTTCCTGCCTGCATCGTGCAACTTTTCCTCCCCTGAAAAGATGAGGGCTGGGAAATACCTCCAGTCTTCGTCCAGACGTGAGGCTGGAATGCCTTTCAGCAGAGAAAAGGGTGTTTACAGGTACTGCTAAGTTTCTCAGTGCCTCAAGTTATAATCTTGATCATTTTAGCTGTGATCTACCACAGCAAATCACCAGGCTGATGCTAAGCTATAAGACAAGCAACACAAGAATTACCCACCAATCCCTTTTACCCTGACACCTGTATTGCCACATTAATTTATGACTACCTGTCTGTCTTTTTCTGCTGGCAATTCCATTTTATTGATTTTTTTTTTTTTTGAGTTAGGATTTTTTTTTTTCCTAACAATAATATGTACTGTTTTTGTGGGCATAGGGTGAGGACAGTTTTTTTCCTAGATATTACTGATTTTTATATACCTTTTTGTTGCAGATATAGATGAATGTTCTCTTGGCCAGCATCAGTGTGGTACTTTTTCACGATGTTACAACACACATGGATCCTACCAATGCAAATGTAAAGAAGGCTACATAGACAGTGGAACAAACTGTATACGTACGTAATGCTCCTTTTCTGAAACTAAATGTGGTCATGAATCCCACACTGTAAATATTGAGCTATAGCGATGTCAGGATCAGTTTCCCTTAACTATTATTAAGGTGGTTGTGATTAATGTATTCAGAGTTTTGGGAGTCTTAGCATGCCTTGGTAAAAATATATTTCCCAGAGATTCTTATAATTAGACACCTACCAAACCCTATTCATTCTAGAGATGCTTCAGAATGAGAGCAACTGAGTAAGCAGGGCCGGGGCTGCTCAAAGTGTTCACAGGACTCGTGCCCTGCTCGCTATGTGCTCCCTGCATACAGGTGATCTCCAGAGGTCCCTTCCAACCCCAGCCTTCTGTGATAGGAGTTCTCATCTTGTTCTTGAGTGAAGCAATTGTAGCATCTTATATTTGAACATATCTCAATGTAAAAACTGCCTGTTATTCAAAAGAATAGTAATAAGCGGATGGCCAGGTGGAAAAGCTTTTTCCCTGCTACCACCAGTCAATTCATTGTTTACCAAACAGTAGTTCTTCATTTTAACTCTTCTGCCTGAAACACTTGTAGAGAAACTATGTGACTAGAGCTCCTGTTGGAGTTTAAGATTTCCAAGGAGATACAAAGGTTTATTAATAAACAGTAAAATAACAAAATAACAAAATACATGTTCTTGCATTTATTATCTGCAGAAACTCCCTTTGTGAATGCAAGTTAAAATATGTCATCTTTTCTTGATGAAATGCTGGGGAAGTGGTGCTGTAGGCAGTTTGGAATACGTGTCGGAGATTTAGGCAGTGCTTGGTTCACCTTGTCCTTTTCGGGAAGACTAAAAATACTACTTTATTTTCCTGGTGTTTAGCAAAGATAGGCATCTAAATGAGAGCTAGTTGGCTTAGGTTCAATCTCTGTAAAAAGGTTAATGCTTATTGATAGATAAGGAGAAGTGTTTAAAAGAAGGGGAGAGTCTGAAATATTTGCTTAGCCAAAGGCATCTGCCTGCCCATGAACAAAACAGAACACTAGACTCTTACTGCATTTAGCATTACTCCTGAGTATGAACCTGTCCAGCTTCTGAGCTCATGTTAAGCCATCCCTTTCTGACTGTGTTTTTTACTAACACTCTTCTGGGAAAGTTTTGTCACCCATGAATGTGAATCGCTGCCTGGCAGGAGGCAGCGCTGGATGGTGCTGGGTGCCTTCAGTCATTCTAGCATGCGATAAGTCAGTAGGGTTGGTGCTGAAGTGTTTCTCAACAGTGGAACCAAGCAGAACAAGAGAAACCACTTCATCAGGTTCTCTCCATGTACTAATGAAAGATACTGTTACATTTCTGGAGCAAGAGAGTCAGATGTCTGTTTTGCTCCCGTTTTGATTCTCTTTGCAGTTATTCCCAATGTTATGATTGAACCACCTGGTCTGTATCATATGTTGAAGGGCAACAGCACACTTCCCAAGGGAGGCAGTAGCCTAACCAATAGGATTCCTGATAGTGGAGGCACAAGTCAACCCCCCAGACCACCATATGTACCTGCTGTTGTTACAGGAAGGCCAGTGGCCAGGCCATCGACTCGTCCTACAGCCCGGCCAACAACTCGACCTCCACCCAGGCCAACCACCAGGTCCATGCCCGTGACGACAAGGCCAGTGACGAGGCCTCCGCCTCCAACATTAAGGCCTACGCTGCCTCCACAGAGGACTCCTGTGATGACAACTGGAGAGTCTTCGCATGTTCCAATTGAAACTACATCTTCCCAAGTAACTACAGTTGACAACAGGATCCAGGTAGATCCACAGAAATCTCGAGGCGACGTGTTCAGTAAGTAAATGTACATATTCTTGTATTTATCAGAATTGTACGTTCAGTGAGGTGAAAGTTTTTTTGAACATTCTATAAATAAGGACAAAGTTGTGAAATTGAAAATGGTCATATGGTAAAGCCGTATGCATAAAGGTTGGGAAAACAAGAAAGTAAAAGTGTTTTTTGTTTTCTGGTGGTGAGCTTACCCTGATGCATGCACACTGAGAGAGAAATGTATCGCTACGGAGTGTTTATAAACACTTGATGGGGTCCTCCGCTGCGTGCGGAAGTTGGGATATCTCTGTCTGGCTTCCAAGACTTCCTTGAGCAGAGGTGGGTGCTAAAGACTGTCCTGTGCAGCAGCTGCTGTTGGCTTCAGCAGGCACTGCAGGGTTAGGCAGCTCCGCCAAGTGCTCTGCTGATGATGTTGTTTAAGTAACCATGGAATCTGTGAAAGGTATTAGGTGGTTGAGCTTGCCCTAGGTGCTTTACCTCCTTCTCTTAAAGTTACTGTAATAACTTTGAGAAGCTGCTTTTTCGGACAACAAAAAAAGAATACTTTAAAAAATGGCATTCCTCCCCTTGCCCTTTGAACTATGCAGTCAGTTGCAGACAGTGGAATCTGGCACCAAGGATAATCTTCTCCTGATATGGATGCAGGGGGAATGGCAGAGGAGGAATGCAGCAATGGCTTAATATTTAACTATTTGGGGACTGATGCAAACTGCAGCGAAGTACGGAGGAAGCTCTTTTGTTTCAGAGGATGGGTGAGGTCTCCAACAGATGCACTGAACTGCCCTGTGAGACTCCGCTTCTGTCACCATCAGCACCTACCTGGGTAGCCAGGGTTAAGTGCATAGGGCAGTACTGGGTATCAGCAAAGCAAAAACAAGCCCCCTGGTTTATATTAAAACATAGTTCAGCTATTGTCCTTCTTAGTGCGGCCACAAAGGTTGCATTTGGGAGAGAGTCCTCCTATCAGCTGTTAATAAAATTTAAAGATAGGATTAAACTGTGATCCCTTTTGCTCCCTTTGCAATGACCGAGAAGTAGAAATTTGAGCCTTGAAAGAACTGAAGTACTAAAACTAAAGAATGTAGTTGCTCCTTTTTCATGCTATGGGAAAAGTGTTTTCAATAGTATTTAGTTTGTTGTCTTTGCTCTCATATCTATTAAGATGAATTTCTTTTAATATTTAAGTATTTGAGACAGGCATCTTGATCCATTTTTCCTAAGCTAATTCATAGGATCTAAGACTTTTATAAATCAAATCCTCCCATCTAGCTTCCAGCTAGCTTTATTCCAAAATCTGATCTTAGACTGCTGCAAACTACTTACTGCATCTGTTTCAGTGAAACTGAAATGTTGCTTTCCTCCCCTGAGGAGCTGTTCCCAGAAAGGTGGGCATGTTACTTCAAAAAATGTTCTGGAAATATATGTAATAAAGGGTTAGATTTAGATTAAAGTCAGTGAGCCTTATAGCTGCCTGGAAAATGCAACACTGGGCTGTAGAGCAGTGCTAGGCCAGCAGGGTAACTTCCCCTGTCATGCAGATGCACCTCACTGCTGCCTCCCTTCACCCAGGACGGGGAATTAAGACTGACCTCAGGACTACTAGTTCTGCAGGAGATCCCAGGCTGTTCATTCTCCTGCAGAGATCTCCCCTAAGGGTTTGGAAGTGGAATATAATTTTTATCATAACTACTATACTTCTAGCGACTTTTCAATCAACTCTGTCAAAAAACCTGTTTCCTCTTGTGTTTTTTTTTTTGTTGTTGTTTGTTTTTAGCAGAAATTTAGAAGCTCATGTGGGAGTGTTTTGGGGCCTGGAGTTGCTTAAGACAGGAATGTTTGTTGTAAGGCAGAACATACACTGAATTATTAATAGTAATAATAATCACATGACGCTGCCCTCCAATGTCATGTTTAGGTTTCCTAACAGCAAGGCAGTGATTATGCTGCAGTTAAACTCAGCTGTATAGAAATATTCTCTTTTACTCCCAAACCGGGTCATTAACAAGTAAATGAAGAATGGCCTCCTGCTTTCCCAAGGCTTAGAAGGCCACAAGGCCATTTGTCTTGCACAGCTATTAATGTGGTTCCCCCCTGCCACCCCATGCTCATGAACTTGGCTGAGGAACTTTAAGACTGTTGTAGCGTTCATGCATTGGCTCATCTGTAGCTTATGAAATTCTCCAAGAAAAGCCAAGTTTATATTTAACAAGCTTTATCAAACTATTTAAGTGAAAAGCACACTGATATGCTTACTATATAAAGTGCACAGAAAGGTCTTGGAAAGCTGTCTGACAATAATTGTGCCAAGTACTCTCTCCCATGATCTCTACTCAACATATTACTCATCTTATTAAAAGCAGTGACACGGGGATCACATTTGGAATCCCACATCTCTTGTATCTGGATGTGTGTGTCCTTGCCTGCCATGAGGTCTGAGTGCTAAGCAGGCTATTTGAAAGTGCTACAGTGTGTTCTTTTAGCAGGTGATATTAAGATTGGAGAGGACTTTGGAGAAAAAGTTTTGAAGAAACATTTTTGTAGAACTTCAAATTAAAGGTGATGTTATGGGTCTGTAATTCAAGGCAGCTAGTCTGTATGCCTATACAGATAATTCTTACAGCAGTGCGGTAGAAACGGTATTTTAATAAGCAAATTGAAACAGGGTGGTAAATAAATTACAAGTATTTCCTGCACTTTGTCCTATAGAGAGGCTGTGATGGGTAGGAAGCTACTTGATAATTTAAAGTATTTTGACAGAGCCCTGGAACAGGTTGCCCAGACAGGTTGTGGAGTCTCCTTCTCTGGAGATCTTCCAAACCCGCTTGGACGCAGTCCTGTGCCACGTGCTCTAGGTGACCCTGTGTGTGCAGGGGGGTTGGACTAGATGATCTCTAGAGGTCCCTTCCAACCTTAAGCATTCTGTGATCCTGTGGATTTAGAAGAGTTCTTTTAACTGTACAATTTGCATATTGATCCTAGTGCAAAAAGACTGACCCAAAGGTGTGTTTATTATTATTTTTTTAAAGGTAACAAGTCCTTTAATTTAGGTTAGAATGGCATTATCACTTGCCTAAAAAGCCTATATTTAAATATTTATTTTAGTGCTGAATGGCAACTGTGTTTTTGATAAGGCCCTCACAAATACCCACAGGTGAGAGCGCTGTCTATAACATCTAAGGGCCTGTCAGAAACATGTTACAGCTGTTTGTTATGGCACAGGCCTGGCTCTGCCTCTAAGGATGGACAGCAAGACAGCTCTGTCCCTCAGGAGGAACAGGGAGTTGCCGCAGCCAGGGGCTGTTTGCAGCCAGGCTTCCCACAGTGACCCCTGGAATTTCAGGATGTCTCCCTGATGCCCATTAGCCTTCCTTAAGCATCCCCTTCCCTCTGCAGCTGAGAAAAGCAGCCGAAGGACAGATCGTGTGGGAGAGCTAGAAGTGTAATTCCAGCTGAATTCCAGCTTCTGCTGCAGGACTCCCTTCCATCTCCCATTACAGCCCTGGTTTTGGTTTAGGGAATTCTAGTCCTCGGCAGATAGATGGATGTAGCTTTAGCTGTGTTTTCAAGCACAGGGCATGTCAGTCATTTGTGTGGGATCTCCTCTAAGCAGCTGTCTGAAATGCTCCTATAAACAGCCGTGGAAGGTAATACTGTACTTCAAGGTGTTTTTATTCTTGGTATAAAAAAAGGCAATGTTGATTTGAAAAGTCTTTAGCGAATTTGGAATCCCCTTTCATAGATAAATGTTACAAACTAAATCATCTAGGTATAAGTTTATTAATCTTCATATGAAATACAAATTAAATATATTGAATTATCCAAGATAAGCGCAATGCTCAGAGGCAGCTATTTTTTTATTAAAGATAAGAAACTGGGTCACTAACTACTTGCTTCTCCCTCATTCTTTTCTTCTTTCCCAGTTCCACGCCAGCCAGGAGTGAGCAATAATCTGTTTGAAATACTTGAAATTGAAAGAGGGATTACTGCTGATGAGTTTGAAGCAAACGATGACCCAGGTAAAGAACATGTCCTTTCCCCAGCTCCAGTGGCTGGTCACGATTTCTGGAGAGATCTTATTTATAGATTTTTACAGGGCTCTTGCATCTTGAGCCTGTTTGTTTAAACTGTACTTTGCAAACCTAAGCCTGTATAGTTGCTTTTCAAATATATCACAATATTAGTGGGCTGAACTGTAAATAATAATTATATCATCCCCTTGATTGCTTCAGTAGTTCTGTAGATTTTTTTTCTACTGTTTCGCCTGCTCCATTTTATGTTTACATGCACATTTGTCAGCCAGCCACAGGGGAAGCTGCTGTTGTTCCCCAAGCCAAGGGTCAGGATCCCTTTGTTTTGTTTTCATTTTCGCCCTGCTCTGCCTAGGGCTGCTGGTGCACAGCTGTGATTTTGACAGTGGACTCTGTGGCTGGATCATGGACGAGGATGATGAGTTGCACTGGGAGCCAGTTGGAGATCCATCAGGTAAGGTGCACACAGACAGTTGCATCATGTGGTCGAAGAACGACCTAACGTTGGTCCTATGGACATTGCTGACAGTTCTTACATTGTGATAAATATACACAGGTTGTTTTCCCTTTAAGTTGGGGATATATTTGATGCTCATGCTGCTTCCGTGTAGAAAAATCAAAACTGAGCATTCCCAGCACTGAGTATCAGCTGAGAATCTGGACTTTTATCACAGCGAGTATCTTTGTATTAGGAGCATCTCTGAAGGAGCAGGAAATGCACTGAGTAAAAGACTATTTGTCTTAAAAGAATCAAACAAAAATACGTACTAGAGAACAACTTTTATCTTACTTATGGAGAAGCAAAGCTTACTTTTCAACTACCATGCAAACAACTATATTCCATATTACTAGTAAAATTACAGGCAGAGCTGGAAAGAGTTTTGGTCTGTTGCCAAATACAACGTCCTTGTTCTGGTCTATGTCTATATTTAGGAAAATACTTAAGGTAACTGTTGTGCTTGCGGACAAGTGCTTTAAAAATACTGCTGCAATACCTTGCACATGCTTTTTGGAGCAATGAATTAAAGGTGGTACTACCTTTTTAATTAATTATTTATTTTTTAAGGACCAGGTAATTTTCTTCCTGCTTTTACATCACTGGAAAATTTGCCTAAGCAAAAACTTACTTTGTAAGAAAGTTATTCAAAGCATATTAATTATCTGTACTCCAGCTTGTTGGTAATATGTATTAAATTTCAGATTAGCCTTTTAAACTGCAGCCTTTTCTTTCCCTTTGTTGCTTTCCTGTCAGGGACAATCTCAGCTTCTGTTTCCTGTACACTGTTGCTGTTGACATAACCTGTTAAAACTAGTCCCTTGAGATCTCCTGCCCTGTTCCCTCCTGTCTGGAATCCCTTGCTTCAGAGATTTATCTTCCCAGCTTGGCCCTGAGTGTTTGCTCTCACCTTTCACAAGTTCAGTATTTACTGGTTTATCAGAAGCTGCATTTTGAAAAGTGCCCTGCTGGAGCCCTGCAAGCTTATCTTGCATGCAGGGAGTGCTGCTCATCAGAGACCTCCTCCTGCAGGGGCTCCACTCCAGCTGCAGCTTTGTGCTCCACCAAACCTGCTTCTTGGTGATTGAATTCAGCCACTCCAACTACCTGAAACAGATGCAGTCAATGCCTTTAATTTTATGCTGATATAACTGTATCTACACCAAACAGGTGCTGTTCTTTACCACTTAAGTCATCTCAATGCAAAAATCATGCATTAAAAAGCTGTAACTGGAACCTGGACAAAGGGCTGCCACTTTAGGCCCACATGCACATTTGAAGCCTTAGGGAGCTGCACACAAACAGTGTATGAACGTACACAGCAGCTTCAGTGTCACTGTGGGTTTCAAATCATGCGGTTGCAGTACACTTGACACAAGTGAAGGAATATTTAAATTTTTCATTTTCAAAAGACTATTTGTAAAAAAGAAATTGGGAAACAGCTAACCTGGTACTAGCACAAAGAACAGAAGAGCAATGCTATAAATCCTGCCTTGGAGACCCTTTTGTTCCTCCTGTTTTTTCTAAACCACTGTTGTGCATTTGGACCTGAAATGCAGTACTAGTATTAATATCTTTCTCTGTTGCAGGGGGACGGTACCTTACGCTGTCAGAGCCAAAAGGCCAAGACAGAGGCGCAGCCCACCTGGTCCTGCCGCTGGGCCCCATGGCCCAGGCTGGGAACTTGTGCCTGTCGTTCAGACACAAGCTGCCAGGGCGGCACTCCGGGGCGCTGCACGTCTTCCTGAGGAGGAGCGGCGCCCACGGACCCGCGCTCTGGGGAAGGAAGGGCGGCCGCGGCTGGAGAGACACGCAGCTCACGCTGCAGGGCTTGGGTGTCAAGAGCGTGAGTATGCCATGAACTGTCTGTCTGAGCATGCCCTGGGTTATTTGCTCTCTAGGTCCAATTTCAGTCTGTGTTTTACTTCCAACTTTATCTCTGCCAGTGGAATCACGCTAGTAAGAGTGAGAATAACCACCACCCCCACCAGCAACACACGCATGGGAAAGTGCAAGATAGCTCCTACTGAGCTACATCATAGAAGTTGAAAGAACCACTTACTACCACATAGAAAAGAGCAGTCTGGTAGACAAAGGTACACTGAGCCTGCATTTCAGAAAAGCTGGTAGCATCATCCCTCAGGAAAAAAGTGTGTGGTTTTTTTTTTTTTTTTTTGTGTGTGTGTGTGTGTGTGAATTAATAGCTAGTTAAAACAGCAAGGGTGCTGAAAACTGTTCATTTTTGATAACCCAAGCTGGGTCCCAGCACAGTCTGTCAGGGTTTGTGCTGTGCAGCCACAGATGATCTGGCCAGGAAGGTGACTGATGCCTGTAGCACAGAACTGTTCAGCTGTCTGCATTATCATGGAAAATGTTTTGACACCTGGTAGTTTTTAAAAAACAAAACAAACAACAACAAAAAAACACTGGATGACAAAGTAATACTGAAAACCTGTTTTGTTCTGACTCTTATCAGCTGGTCTCACACTGGTAAAAGGTTATCATGTCCATGGAGAGAGCCAGCCCCATGTGATTGTGGCATTAAATGATTAATATCGATTGTGTGAGAATGCTGGAATTATTGCAGATAGTTTTCAGAAAGTTAAAAAGGAGATTGATAAAGCAGAGACATTGTGCTATCATGTAAGGGAATGTCACAGAGTCAGGAAGGCTAATACCTAGTGAGCAAGGCCTTTTGCTCTGAACTTAGCACTTGAGTTTGGCATTTTTCCATCTGCTTTGGGAATCCCGGTGTGCTAACCTAAACAAATTGTGATAGCCCCTATCACAGACGAATCAGTTTTGACAAAGGAAACAATTTTCTAGATTGACAAAAACTAAAACTAATTCAACACTAGTGATTTTGGGGACGTAATGGAAACCTTAGAGGGTGTTTGAATGGAGGTCAGAATCCTATATCACACTTTCTAAAGAATTAACTCTGCATCAACTAGTCATAGAGCATATCTAAAAATCACTTATTTCTAAAACTGTTTCAGTATATTCAGCACAGCATTTCTCTTACATCCCCTGTATCTAGTGGGTATTTAAATCAGGAACCTGCTCTCAGCAATCCAAATTATTTTAATTACACAGCTGTATTTGATCTATGACTCTGTGTTAACTCTTTCAAAACATGGACAAAAACAGTGACTGCCTATGAAAGCAGCTCAGGCTTGTGCATCTGCAGCAATAGGACAGGGAACAGTATTAGTTTATGAGAATGTTTTCTTAAAGAAGTCTGCTCACTACTGTGTGTCTCCTCTGCATGATTTATGGCACACTCCTAGTCAAGTTCCCAATTTGTTCATTTTTCTCTTGCTCAAGCTATGTGCTTAAATCTGTTTTGTAAGAAGCCAGAATTTATTAAATAAAGGATGTGTCTTTCTAGTTCCTGCAGCTGTGTCTGGCCATCAGCCAACTGTAAAACTTTAAGAAAACACTTTGCAGAATACAGGGAGTTTGGGGTGTTTGCTGTGAGGATCAATGAGAACAGTGCAGAGATGCAGAAAGTTCCTCCAGCAGCACAGGCTGCACTGTGTGGAAGTTCATTTCAGGGCAGCTCTGCCAGCCAAGCAGCACTGCAATCAGCACCTTGATCTGCTGTAGCTCAGCGGTGATCTGCTGTCTCTTCACTAAATCCTGCCAAAGTGAAAAAGGGAGACAATCAGAAAAAAAAAAAAAAGCAGCAGTATTAATTCTGAGCAGAGCAAGTGGCCTTTTGTAAGTCAGTTAAGATTATATGTTCTTGCTTTCTTTCTGCAAGGCCTTCCCAGCCAAAGTTTCTTTTGTTTTATTTTTGCACTCCAATTTTTCTCTCTCTCTTTTCTCAGATTGTTTTCAAGGGGGAGAAAGAGAAAGGAAGAACTGGGGATATTGGGCTAGATGATATTGTCCTGAGGAGAGGACGCTGCTCTGACGAACACTAGCAAAGACAGGGGCTGAGCACAAGTCATCTCCTCCAGCCCTTCTCATCCTCTTCCCGTCAAGCTTCAGAATGAAACTGCATAAAAAAGAACCGTGTGGAGAGTGACAATTTCTGGATGATCAGATAAGTGCAACCCCAGCAAATCTGCCCTGAAAATTAATGAAGAGCACCAGCTGGGACTGGGGAACTCCAACCTGTGTCCAGTGTTTCTAACAGTCTTTGCCCTAGTCAAGTTTTGTAATCAGTAACATTATTCCCCGCAAAGCCTGATGATTGTTCATACCAAGAAGCACTTGTGAAAGAGGGGGAATTAGTAATTAATGCCAAATGTTGACAAAAGAAATATCCAACTCATAAGGTTTTAAGAACATTATTTTCTGTACTGCAATAAAAGAGTAGTTCTATTGATTAGATTGATAGACAGTGGGTTTGACCTATCTTCATGGCTAGCTCAGATGAGCTGTGGTCTAGGCCTGAGCCCAGATGGCTTTGGCCATCTTAAAGGTCAAAGGCTGTAAAGAAGGGTTGGCTGCATATCAGAGAGCAGTTAATGTTGGCATTGTATCTGTATTAACAAGAGCAGTTATGTAGAGTAGGAACTGCATCCTGTAATAGCGTTCCTGCTGTGTTTTGTGTATATGTGTATGGTTATTAACATATTTATGTTTTTAGTAATTAGAGTAGTTGCAAGGCGGATGGCAGCTCTGTGTTCTTACTGTACATGGGCAGCTGCTTCTCCTCTCCAATCCCACTGGTTGTGCCAGCAGATATGTTACCAAAGTGACTAAATGGTGCTCATGGAAAAACATTTCCCGATCATTCCCTTTTGCACAAAATGCAGGTTCAGTTTTTCCCATTACAGTGCACAGAGGGCATGAGAAACAAATCCTCCCTGGCACAAGTCTGCATGGGGCTGTGCCATGAGCGTGCCAGGCCTCAACCCTGTGAGCAGCTTCCTAGTGCGTTGAGGCCGAGCAGTTGGAGAAGCTCTGCACCCCACCGTGTCTTGTGCAACTGAGCCTGCTGTTCTGTATACAGTAAATATTTTTCAGAACTAAAAGAAATATTAGCTCTGGCTGGAATTAAGTATTTAGCCAAATTTTGGACTACTGTAACTTTAGCTATGTATCTTGCATGTGATGTGCAGTTCTGCAGAATATTTCTGGATTTGGCTGGGGATTTTTAGATGAGAAAACTCATCATTGCTGTCTAGCGTTCTAAATTTGAAAAAGTAATTGTATGCTGAAGAAAAGGACAGAAATTGATAAAATGTTGTTAGTAGCATGACATTAAAGCATCAAAAATGCATATGTAAGCAAAAATAGTTCTCTGATCTTCTGCAATACTCGCATGCAAAATATTTGTCAGTAACATGTTATAAAACTATATAAAAAACAAAAAAAAACCACACACACACACATTGGGCCTTATAAAAAATCTCCAGCAATAAAACTGCCAGACCACTGGATTTCCTAATCCAAAAAACTGTTTCTAAGTATTGTTTTAAGCATTTTTGTCCTCCAGGACACCATAAGCACAGTGTGTACAGCAACTTCATCTGACCAAACAGATAATCCTCAAAGTGCATTGACAAACTTTTTGAAATAGAAGAAATAATTCATTTGTAAATTCTTTTTAAAACTACTTTGCTTCCCATGTGATAGTGTGGTGTTTTTGTGTTATTTTGCAATATGTCAGAAATATTTGTGAATATTTGAAATGCCTTGTTGTTATTTTAAAATAATCAGTAAAGGCAGCTGTACTTCCTGCTAATTGGAATCCTGTGTTTGCTTTTCTGGATCAAAAGTCTTGTTTGTATTGTAATAAAATGAACTAAATAGCATATTTCAACCAATAACTAAGCACTTACAACAACTTTAAAAATAGAAATAGATTTCACTATTATGTAAGACTACTCAAAAAGAAAAGTGACAGTTTTCAGCCTATTTTTTTCTAGAACAGTTCTGCTGGTAATTTAATAGTTTCAGAGATTTAAAGTGTCCATCTTGCAAGGGGCAGTAGCTTCTAGTGTCCCATCTGCTACTTAACCTGTACAAATTGTGTTCTATGGCATCTAACATCCCATGAAATAGCTCTTTTACCAAATACTGCTACAGTTCTTTGAGGGAGTCCAAGATAGAAGTCTGTCTTGGCAAAACTTCAAATTTGTAAATGGCTAAAAATTTAATTAATACAGGTGGGTAAATACTGTAACTAAGTACTCAGGCAGAGACTCCTGGTGTCACCTGCCTATGTAGGCTACCCTAATTACCTTCCCCCTCTACATGGGATGGAGCTGAATGGCTGTACAGCCAAACAGGTACCCACAAAGCATTATAAATAACTGAAGTCCAGCTCCCCAAGAGGGCTGTTATGGTGCTAAGAAGTGACTCACCTCCCAGCTGCTCACGCTGTGGCACCCTGTTGTCACCCTCACTGGCTGCTGCCATGAGGCTGTCCACTGGAACTCCCGCTTCCCGGTGAGCCTAAGGGGCACAGATTAGGATACAGCCTGAGCTCTGGCTAACACAGCACCTAATGGCCCTCTCTGCTGTTTTGTAACATCTTAAACTATTTTCTCCAGATTGAAAATAAAGTTCTGTAGACTACAGCTCCTGCTATCTCACTGACTGTGGTCACAGCGCTAGCATCCAAGCGTAGCACCCTGTACAGCTTGTTCCTCCCACCGCAGAGGCTCCCTGAAAGCTGGTCATGCTACATTAAAAATATAATTCAACAAGCTAAACTTTACCTGTCTTTAAATCTTCAATTATGATTTTTTTTGGGGTAGGATAATGCTATCCAAGTTTCATTTCTCATTATACAAGTGTGTGTGTGTGTATATATAAATATTTAGCTATATGGGTATTTGTATCAAAAATAGGTAACATTGTCTATTTTTATATACTAAATACCAAAGGATGTGTATGTTGTGTTATCGATTCATATATATAAAAAAAAACCCTACCACGTTAAAGTTTTTTGTGGTTGTAAAACAGATACTCTCTACAATTAACTGATTTATCCCAGTGTGCTGTAGGCCCACAACGTTTTATCAGTTCAGCTTTTCCACAGCACTACACAGTCTAGCTGCACTAAGCCTCAGTGTAAACCTGCAACTTAAAAAGGAGGAAAAAAAAAAAAGAGACATTTTAGTGATAAATTTTAGGTGTGGTCTGAAAGAATATTAAAACAAACAAAAAAAAATCCCAACATGTTTTGAAAATTAGTGCATTCCTAGTGCTGCCAGCTTTAGCAAACAGACCTACCACCACGTGAGAAAATAAATTTTGCCAGTTCCTATACAGCACTTGTATGAGGGGACACTGGTACAGACATAAAGGCAACTTTAGTAGTGAAGCCTGAGGCCCCTGCAGTGTCCAAGCACCAGTGCTATGGGGGTTTTCAGGCTATCATGTTCAAAAATGAATTCAATCTCAGCCTAGATTTGCTCTTACTAACTTCCTTACTCTCTTCTCGGTTAACAGAGACCTAGAGAATGTGTGAGGGGCTCTCATACCCAGTTGATTTGCTTGTAGCTCCCCACAGGAACCTGTGACGCAGCCACTCCCAGCCCCATCCTTCTGTAGCTGCATCAGCAGTGCAAGTACAGGTCCTTGCTCCTGATTTAAATGAATCCTCTCTGCTGAAGCTTGCTTGACTTTCTTCTGAGGAAGAGCCAAATGGGTCATCTAGAAGGCTGCTGTGCAGGAAGCAGAGAAAACACATCTTAAAACAGCTGTGAGATTTTAAAAAGACCAAAAGTTGCTAGTCCATTTTTAACAGTCATTTTTCTTCCTTTCCCATAGTTGGCACATCACTGCAGAAACTCCCCATGTGCTCCAGGAACAGAAATCCAAGCAGTGTTTCAAAGCACATGTCAATGGAATTGTTGCTCATTGTTTAAAATCATGCTGCTGCACCTGAAAATGAGCAGTCACTTTTGTTCCCCAGATAAAACACCTGAAATGGATCATGTAGTCACCCCACCTACTTACCAAGCCCAGGCTGTGTTACAACTTTTATCTAGTTGTTGTGTGTGTTTTTTTTTTTTTTTTAAATAACCCAGGTACAACCTACCATCACTAGCTCCTATGCACACCACTCACTCTGCAAGTCTCCTGAGTGGCATCTTCAATCAAACAAGCGCTATCAATACATCAAGCCCTTCACACTGCACCCACAGTGACTTGGGGCAAACCCCATGGCGACAAAGCTCTTGGAGCCTCACTCACCTCATTGTGCCAGGGTGCTGGATCCTTGGCAGACCCCAGGTCTGCCACCCCGATGTCCCCAAGTGCTGCGTGTCCTCCACCTCACCTGGAGACCCCCCTCCCCGCCGGGCAGCTCCGCAGGCTCCCACAGCTGGGCTCCTCAGGCACAGCTTTCCAGGGTTAGGCCCCCCCACTTGTGGAGAAGAGTCAGAGTGCTCTGCACATGGCAGCATTTGTCAGATGCTGCCCACACAATAACGAAGTTTCACTGTCCTG